ACTCAGGTTATATTTGCAACGTCCGCATTGTCCTTTTATAAGGCATAGTTGGGCGTGATCAGTAATCGATGATTGGACAATCTCAAATTTTAAAATCTAATCCGAAAGCAGAATAATGCAATAACTCTCACCTTCATACGACAAATAAATTTACCTGGCATGGTGTTAATCCCGTTCTGCATCGGAGCCAATGGAACCTTTGGAGGCACAGGATATTTCATTAGATGATACTGATGCTCAAGCAAATGATTGAACAAGATGATTTGTTTCTTCAGTTTAAGCCTAATGTAGTAGGCCCGAAAGAAATCTGCATTTTCTTCTTCTAATTTTTGCCAAACTGGATACAATATGAAAAAGATTTAAAAATTGGGAACTGAAAATAACCATAGTCTTACAAAAAAAAAATATAACCATAGTCATAGACCAGAAAATACTTGGTCAAAATACACGTGAAACAGTAGATAGCATATATAAAGCAAGCAGCCACAATCACAATGCATAAACAAATTCATCAATAACTTCATGTACCTACCTAGAGTTGTAAATCCAGGATCTATCCTTGCACGATTAAGAAGTGTTTTTACTACTTCATCCTTATTCATATACAGTTGCAAGCACCGTTCAATCAAGTTTTGGACCTGTAATAAACATGTCATCATGAAGTTAAAAGACCCGAGCACAACTTCCCAATGTATGATCTAGGCAAAAGTAAGTGTTTAGAGACTGTCTTACAAGTTCAATATCTTCACGTGAAACTTTCCGATTATCATTGCCTGATGCAGAAACAGAACCTGCATCAGCTACAGGTGTATCAACTGTATGGTTCTGCGGGTCATTTTGGGTTTCATGAGAAGCCTGGGTTGATGGTTTCTTTTCTACAGTGTTTTGTGGATCCTGCAATATATCATGAAATAATAAAATTATGAAAATAAGATTCCATATCTGAATAATAACTTAACCAACTTAATCTATGTTTTAAATAAAAATCACAAGAGTTTCAGAATTTCAGAAATTTTTATTCTATAACCTATTTAGTATAGACTATCTGTGTTGTAATCACTTATTATAGAACAAAATGGATAACCTAATTGCAGATAAGAGAATCCTCACGCTTTAAATAAAAAGTTACAGAGGTTCGCCACAAGTTAATAGCGCGAATATTGTTTCCAATTAGCAGCATTTTAACACTTCTAGAAAATGCTAAGTCGCATTGCCAAAATAATGCAACATATAACCAAGTAAATGAGCAAGAAATGGAAGATCTGAACACAACAAAGGGAACTCTGTTAGAAAATAGATAAAATAACCTGTGTGGTCTTCATTTTAGTCAACTTCATGCGCATTAAATATCTTCATGAAGCTCCAACATTCCACTGCTGCAAGTTGTATCACTACTTCTGGCACTCTGCATATGGAAAATTGGAGAACTAATCACCTGAGAATAAAAGGTAACCATCAATAAGTAGATGTAAAAAATCACATGAGTTCGATGATCGAGGAGAATTAAAAATTTAAAGTTTAGCCTAAAATTTCAGAGTTGAGAAAGCAAGCATCATGTTCAGTACACGAGCTGATATATTTAGGATAATGTGACAAGTCTAAAAAGAAAGATTACACACTCCCATTCCCCACATTGGAACTGATCCATGATACTTGATGAGTTCCATAGATCTTAAACAATTTAAACTGAAAAGAAGAGAATTTATTCCAAACAACGAGCAAGCTATAAGAATATAGAAAGGAACCTATTACATTGGATAGTAAATGAGTCTGATATTTACTCTCTTTTTTTTAATCTTGTCTATTTTGTTCATTAAGCCCTGATATCCTCAAGTAACTACTTAGTCTCTCTCCTAAAACTCTGATCCCAACGTTGCCTGTTCTCCATACCTTCAAACTTAAATCTTGGATTTGCCTCTTTTACATTGTAAGGCGCTCAAGCTGCACTATATTCAAATAATGCAAGAACTATGGCAAATGGAGGAGCTAATACTGTTGGAAATGGAAAGCATTTGATTGGAATAATATAAAAAGAGAATGGCTTCAAAAAAAGTGTCTCCTTGTTTTTCTTTCTCATTTTCTACTGTTTACAACCTGCCCAGATTTGAACTCTACTCTACAGTGGCAATTGATAAGGTGTAACACTGTCCTAAAAGATTTATATTTCTCATGTATTTTTAAACTCCTTCGAAATCTCAGAACAAATTCTAGCATGAGCAAACATACGCATTCACGAGATTAACATACCATAACAAAGAATCCTGAAAAGTTACAAAAAGAATCAAGCAACCAAAAAGGAAAATTCTCCACTAAAGGTTAAGACTTTCCAACCAAATGTGTGACTTTAACTTGCTAAAAAGATAAAAATTCTATAATAAAGTTTTTAAGTCTTTTCTACCAAATTCTTGACTTTAATCCAAATCCAGAATTGTCTTTTAATCAAAGCTGAACCGTAGAAAGCAGCTGTAATGGGATATCCAAAATAAGAAATCAAAACAAGCATAATCTAATTAGGCAAAAATAAAGATATCCACACTACAAGAACCTAGTACAACACCTCCAGCTTAACATAGAAAATGCATTTTAAAAGTAAAAATTCTCAAAGATCTCAAAACTAATAGCAGAGAGATTACCATTTAAATCAAGATTCTCTTTTTTCCACAAAATCAAGGTTGTTTGTTATTCAAACAACACTTAAGAGTATATCACTCAATTAACAATATTAAAAATTTATTAACAATACAAAGCACCAGTCTGACAAATCTTTAACCAGGGTCAGATTTAAACTAACTTTAATTTATAAGCTCCTTGAAATACAAACAGCAGCATCAAACACCAAATTCAGAAATGAACAACAATGTGTGCAGATAAAACCATTTTAAAAAGGAAAAAAAATCCAAAAACCCCAACTTAAGAAATGTTTGTATACTAAAGAGAAAGCAAAAAAAAATAAAAAATCAAACCTTTGGCTTGCAAGGTGGCTAGTGAAATCTTGGTTACAGTGGCAAATGAACAAAGTGTTGGCAAAATTGAGCTTACTAAAATCGATTAAAAAAATGAAAATTAGCAACTAATCAAGAAAAAGAATAAAGGTGAAAGGTCAAAGGAGGAGATGAAGAAGAGAAAAGTGTAGATGGGTTGTGCTTACAAGAGTTTAAGAGGAGAGGAACAGTTAAGATGGAAGGTTTTAAAGCAAAGTGTGGAAAAATATGGTTTATGAGCTGCTGCTGTTGTTTATTGGTCCTGTTGTCCAGTAAGTAAGAAAATGGCAGTAATGGAAAGTGCAAATTACCGCCAAAGATTGGTTTTCAATAATACCTGATTATTTTATTCTAATTTGAATTCAATGTGGACAATATGCTTGATACCAAATTTTAATTTTTTCTTGTTTCTCATCAATTTAGAAGCTGAAAGCAATATTGAAATATACTTGTAGCCCGTTTGGCCAAGCTGCAAAAATCAGCTTATTTTGAGAAGTTTTTTTTTCAAAAATATTTTTCTCAAAAGTACTTTTGGTGAGAAGCAGTTTGTATTTGGCTGATTAGTTTGAAAAACACTTTTGAGCAACAATTAGTGTTTGGTCAAGCTTTAAAAAACTGCTTTTAAGTGTATTTTTCTCAAAAGTACTTCTCAAAAAAATATTTTTAGAGAGAAACTACTTTTTTCTGCTTCTGCTTATCCTCAAAAGCACTTTTTTTCTTTCCAAAAGCTTGGCCAAACACCTCAATTTTTGGGCAAAAGTGCTTTTGACAACAAAAAAAAACACTTTTGACCAAAAATAAGCTTGGTTAAACAGGCTATTAGTTCATGATTTTTCTTTCATGGGGCAAATTTTAGTGAAAATAGCATTGACTAGCTTGTTTTTGGACCGATAATTGAAAAATATCTAGTGTTTGCAAAGTCATAAAAAATAGTTATTATTTTTTAAAGAGATAAAATCTAGACAAAAATACCTTAGCTGAAACATAAAAAGTTCTAGCATAATATGCTAAATTCGAACTCCTGCATATTAATTTTTTCGTATTTTTAAGGATGTTTTCGTTCAAATTTTATCTTTATATAAAAAAAATGACTAAAATTCGATTACTTTTGAAACTTCGGGTATTTTCAAGTAAATCAGGCTATTTGTGATCCCCCTCCCCCCAAATTTTATCATTGGAAAAGCAATTATTTCTGTTATATTAATTTGAGGCTTTTTCCCCTTCTCTCTCTATATATAGTCTGATTGTAAAAGTTAGCCTAAAATGAAATTAAATAAAAGATAAATTTATGTAATCGACCCTAATTTTGTGTGATACATAATTGTAGTTATTGTTATTGTTGTTGGATTCTAACAACTTGTTTGGATGGTTGTTACGCATCGTTTCATAATGTATCGTATCGTACTGTATTGTATTGTACTGTATCGTTTGATAAATATAATGTTTGGATAGCTTGTGTTGTTTGCCATCGTTTCATGATATCACGCACCAGCAATATGAAGAATAAACTTGCAATATTATAAAGAAAAATTATGATACAAGGTAAAATTACTATATAAAAAAGTAGGGTAAATGATAAAATAAAATAATTTAATAATAATAAAGGGTGAGATTGAGAGAAAAAGACAAGGTAACGATGCGACCACTCCAAATCGGTCGTTACATAAAGTGGCACATTTCGTTGTTATGTAACGATGGATTTAACGATACGATACAATTTAAGTAACAATCAAAACAAATATTGTATTTAAAGAAACAATACGATACGATACAATAGGTAACAACCATCCAAACAAGCTGTAAAATAACTGGTGCACTCATATCCTTGACCTGCCACTAGCTCAAAATTGTTCATTTGCATTATGCATTTGGAATTTGTTACTCCTTTTTTATATTTCTTACTTTGGAAAAAACTAAATCTATGACCAAAATAAAAAGTTAAGTACTAAATAATAGTAATAGGCAGATTCTTAAACAGTAATTTATTTTTTCGACACTTAAACATTAATTAAACACAAAGCAAAAATGATACCCATTCATTGATTGAATTTGGTTGTCTTTATTCTTATTTTGGCTTATTTCAAGGATAGTTCTTGCTTATGTTTTTTTTGACCTATTTTTTGACTTTGTTCTCTTACCTTGATGGTTAATGCTATGACAATGAAATATATTTTACATTTCTGAAATTTAAGTGAAAAAAGGTTAGCTTGGTGCACTAAGCTCCCATTATGTGAGGGATTGAGGAAGGGCCGGACCACAAAGGTCTATTATACGCAGATCTTGTATTTTTGCAAGAAGTTGTTTTCACAATCCGAACCCATAAAAACCTAGTTACGTGGCAGTAAATTCACTAGTTACGGCAAGGTCTCTCCTTATGAAATCTAAGTAGAATGTAAAAAGAGATAGGAACTCTCACTTATTGAACCAACAAAAAAGAAACCTCTCATTTATGTTTTGAAATGAGCTATTACTTCTCCTGAGCAGTGGTTCTTTTATTTCATACTAAGGAAAGTTGTACAAGAAAAAGGAAGAGAGAAAGAAAATCGTAGAAAAAGAACAAAAATTGCATGATTTGAGACCAAATTTTGTGCAACATGCACATGGAGAAGCTGTCTGGCTGTGGATGAACAAATACAAATAAAAGTATTAACTTTCCATATGCAGATTTTGGGTCTGCAAAGAGACATAAAGTTTTTTCTGCAATCACCGAAAGATGTGCTGCAGTGGATGAGACTGCTTCTCCCTTAACTAGAGGTCTCGGGTTCGAGTCCTGGGTATGGAAAAAACTTTGGTAGGGAGCGCTTCCCCCCAAATGGGACCCTACGCAACGCGAATCCGAATATAATCGGGCTTCAATGCGGATACCGAACAGCGGATGAAAACCAAAAAAAAGTTTGTAATGCAAACTCAACTTGTTGTCTGTCTTCTTTTGTTTTGCCTCTCTTTTTGTCTCTCTTTTTTCTTTTTCTTTTTCTCTCATAAATAGAATACTTGGAAAAAAAGTGTAAAAAAATTCCTGATAGAAAATACTTTTTCCTTAAATGAGCTTTACCCGGGCAAATTTAAGTAGGCGTTTGGATATAAAAATTATAATTTTTTTTAAAAAGTAGTATTTGGAATTAAGTTGAAAAATAATATTTGAAATTTGAAATTGTGTTTGGACATACATTTCACTTGAAAATTGTTGCAGTACAAAAATTTCTAGTACAAAAATTTCTGAATTTTTTTTAAAAAATTCATTTTCGAAATTTTTTCAAAAATTTGTAAAATTTCATGGACAAACACATTTTTGACAAAAAAAAAAACGCAAAAATATCTATTGACAAACGGTCCTAAATTAATGGGAACCCAAATTTTTATTTGAGTTGTAGCAGTAACACAAGTAGTAATATGTTTTTGGGTTGAAAATGGTCCCACAAAGTAGATCTTGTTCGTCGAGCCAATCCTTTTTATTACTATAATTTGGCATCCAATGGCTAAAGGACCACTCCTTTCTTTGCCCCATTATTGCATGCCAAATTGCCTATTGCTAAAGGGATCTATAAAATATCCAACACCTTTTCCTCTTTCCACTTTTCATTTCTTTAATTAGTCAAATTTCATGATTTTCTTAATCTCGAATATCTTCAAGAAACACAAACTTATCTTATGTTAGTTACAGCGGCGAAAGATGATCAGTTAAATATTCTTATACAAGTTATACAGTACATATACATCAAATATTATTGCTGTTATATATGTATAAAATTTTAAATACTCTTGAACTAGCAAAATTCTTGATTTTTTGCCACTAATGTATGTAATTGTTAATGGCGAAAATAATTTACTAACGTATTTAAAGTTCTAAGCATATAGGTAAGGGCCTTCATATGCCAATTTGATGCGCTTTCTATATTTATTTATTTTTGCATGTAAATGTTCATAAATGCATAATTTAAGCCTATTAGTTATTACTCCAGTGAAAAGAATAATCATGGAAGCAGACTTGATACTTGGCAGGTCAGATTAATGAATTACATACAAGTTAAATATACTTGAGTTTCAATTTTTTTGTACAAAACCATATATGGCCATGAAACCAATTATATTGTGATATATATGTCAACAAACGATCTATTTCTAATCTTATTATAGAGTTTAATGACGACACGTGGATGATGATTATTATATTGACATGTCACGGTAATCCAATGAAAATCGTCTTCATCAGAAAAACCTGCGTTGATTTATTATTACAAAGAGAATCATGTTATGAAATATAACTCAAAGTAACAATATGGAACAAGAAAATAAAAGCAATTTAGTAAAACATGAACAAGAAATGGAGATGGAGAGAAGGAAGAGATTTCTTCTTCAATTGTGTGTGTCTTTCCATTGCAATTACATAACCTTTTATAGGCATAAAAAGTAAAGATGATGGACATAAAGTAGGAGATTTAATCTTTAAGTTATTCACAACATGAGCATCCAATGTAGCATCCAATGTAGTATCCAATGTACAAACTATTCATAACACTCCCCCTTGGATGTCCATGTAAGATAATGTGCCTCATTAAGAACTTACAAAAAAAATATTGGGATGTACATAGTTATTTATAATATACATTGCTTGCTGCCTCATTAAAAACCTTACCAGAAAAACCCAGTGGGACAAAACCTTGGTTAAGGAAAAGAGTGCAGCGTGTAGTTACTCCCCCTGATGAAAAATCACTTAATGTCTCGAATACGATGCATTTCAATCTTATATATCAGCTTTTCAAATATTGAGGTTGGTAATGCCTTAGTGAACAGATCAGTCAAATTATCACTTGAACGAACTTGTTGTACATTTATTTCACCATTCTTCTGAAGATCATGAGTGAAAAAGAATTCGGTGAAATGTGTTTTGTTCTATCTCCTTTGATATATCATCCTTTCAATTGAGCTATGC